ACTGCACATATTTAAAGTATATGATTCTATCAGTTTTGAGGTTCATATGCCCATGAAACATCGCCTCCCAAACAACGTTGCCGTCCCCCCCGCCAAGTTTCTCTGTGTTCCTTTAAGTCCATTCCTCCCTCCTCCCCATCCCCCGGCAACCACTGATCTGCTTTCTCTATATATACATTAATTTTTACTTTCTGGTATTGTATATAAGTGGAATCACATAATGTTCCTTTGGCCTGTCTTCTCTCACTCGGCATCAGGATTTTGAGATTGCTCAGTGTTGTTGTGTGTATTAATAGGTTGTCTTTACTGCTGAGTAGTATTCCCGTTCATAATATGTTCCTTTATTCACCTACTGATGGATTTGAGTGGTTTTTAAATTTTGGCTATAACAAAAAAACCTCTTATGCACATCCACGTATAAGTCTTTGAGTTTTATGCTTTCCTTTCTCTTTGGTAAACATTTATAAGGGGTATGGCTGGATCATATTGTAGGTGCATGTTTAACTTTTTAAGAAGCTTTCAAATTGAATTCCAAAATGGTGGTACCTCAGTTGGTTAGAGTGCAGCCCTATACGGGTTTGGATCCCAGTTCCAGTTGCCAAAAAAAAAAAAGGAGGTATCATCTTACAGTCCCACCAGCAACACAGGAGAGTTTCAAGTCCTCTGAGTCTTTACCGACATTGACATGGTCAGTCATTTGAAATGTAGCCATCTTGTGCGTGTGTGCGCACGTGCATGTGTGTGTGTGTGCGTGTGTTTCATGCGCTGCAGTTTGTTTTTTTTTTTTTTTTTTTTTTTTTTTCTGGCATATTTTTTAAAAAGATCATTGAAATCTTAAAATTTTTTTTTCAAGACTCAGCTATGGGCTTAAGTGAATGATAAATGTTTAGCAAAGTAGGGCAAATTTCAATCAGTGTAGGGTGAAGTTAATAATAATGAATAGGCTGGCTGGTTAGCTCAGTTGGTTAGAGCACGGTGTTATAACACCCGTGTCAAGAGTTCAGATCCCCTTACTGGCCAGCCACCAATAATAATAATAATAATGAATAGTAAAAAATGTAAAATCTTCTAGTAACAAACTTAAAACATTGTAGGAATTAAGTATGGGAGTGTATGCACAAATGGAAGCAGCATGCCAGTGAGCTGCTTGATGATGGAAACTAAAGACAAAGCTAAAGTATTTGAAAATTCAAACTCTGTATCTAAAGATAACACCTTTCTAGCATTCAAAATATATTTAAACACAAAAATCTTTCCATTTGTTTAGAAAACAGAAGCTCTTCGCTTACAGTATCGCTACTTAGACTTGCGTAGTTTCCAAATGCAGTATAATCTGCGACTGAGGTCCCAGATGGTCATGAAAATGCGTGAATATCTCTGTAATCTGCATGGTAAGGGAAATGCCTGAATGTTCTTTGGAGATTTTTAGCGTCTCTTCCGTTTTATTCAGCAGTTTTATTGTATCCTGTCCTTAGCATCATTGGGTCAGATGTTGCCAGAAGTCTGGAAATCACTCAGTGTGTAAAGTCGTTTTGAAGAAAGGTTTATTTCCAGGTGTTTTGTCCTAGAGAATAATTTAGTAACTAGTTTCCTATTGATTCACAAATACATCCTTTATAAAAATGATAGTGCCAATTACATTGTTTTTTTTGTGGGTTTTTTTTTTTTGTCCGTTTTGTGACTGGTAAGGGGATCGCAACCCTTGGCTTGGTGTCACCCACACCGCGCTCAGCCAGTGAGTGCACCGGGCATCCCTATATAGGATCCGAACCCGTGGCGGGAGCCCCAGCGCCACACTCTCCCGAGTGCGCCACGGGGTCGACCCAGACCATGTTTTGATGACATAATTTGAGCTGGATGCAGCCATGCTTAAAATAAGAGCTACTCCTCAACTTTTCTACTGGAGAATCATGAAATCCCCCTTTCTATCTAAGCCACTTTGAGGTGCATTTCTGTCACCTGGCAATTAAGAGGGCCCCGTCTAATTTACACAGCGGGGAAACGTGCCCCAGAAAAGTAGTAGCATTTTGTCAAGCCTGGGCTGCCACTCTTTTCACATAGGAAGTACCTGAGATTTTACTGTTTTCGTTGACCCAGCCCCTGGAATTTAAAGCAGATGCATTGGTCACAGTGGTTGAGGATGAAACATCAGAGGACATTAAACGCCCAGGTCAAAGTATTCAATGGTATCACCGCATGTATGTTTAATTAAACAGTGTAATGCAGCAGTCTCTCTAATCTTTAACTAAATTGGTCATTTAGCAGTGTGATCCAAAGACTGTTCTGAGTTTTGCGAACAGATTCCATTTCCCCGTAGCATTTCCTTCCTTTTTAATGATGAGATTTAATTCTTACAGAAACACATCCTTATTCACTTGTCGCACTAAACGTGCTAGTGAGCAACCCTGTGTGATGTGTATGAGCTACGTGAACACACAGGAGGGTGGTGCATGCCCTCTGCTAGTGCCCAGAGTCGCCAGCGTTGCTGGAGGACTCTCTGAGCAGAGCAAAGGGGAGGCCTAAAAGGGGGTAGAAATAAGAAGATCCATTCAGTCTCCTCTCGAAGGTTCTGCAGAATTGTGCGAGGCCCTGGACCCCTAGGGAGTGCCCAGGCCTTTGTCTCCACGCTCCAAAGAGGCCTAACCAGGCTGCGGTCACCGGCAGCAACCGTGGATCTGGTGACAGCAGGTTTCAGGACAGCCTCCCTGACGCGCCCCCGCCAACGCGGCGTCGGCCCCGCCCCGCGCCTCCCAGGGCCCGCCCCTTGCGCCGCGACCCCGCCCCTGCCCTATGGTACCGCCCACGTTCTCG